AAAAAAAAAAAGGATAAAGGTATGTAAGTTAGCACTATTGTCTTTGGACAACAATTGATAGTACCTCTCAAGACATCAAATGTGCATGCATATTGATCCAGCCATTGTACCTCTGTGGCATCATGGTTAAGAGTGTGGAATCAGACTTCCTAAGTGTTAATCTCAATACTGCCATATATTAATTGTATAACTTTAAGTCCCATAACCTTAGTTTTCTAATTTGAAAAAAATTGGTGTAATAAGAGTAATTGCTTCATAAGATTGTTGTGAAGATTAAATGAAATGATGTATATTTAGTTTCTTAAATGTGTGGCCCACAACTAACACTCAAATATTATTTATTAATATATTTGCTATTTCTTATATTGTGGTTATTAGGTTCTTACATAAATGGGCAAGGATGTACAAGGAAGAATAGTTAAATGAATTATGATAATTTCATACTATGGAAAACTGCAGATTTCCACGTAAAATGAGATTATAAAAATGACATTAAAATATAAATTGAGATTTTTACAGGTACTGATATGAAGATGTTATTTGTTGAGTGAAACAATCAGGATGCAGAACAATATATAGAAGATAATCATTATATATACTTTTATCTCTTTATCCATCTTCCTTTCTTTTGTTCTTTCTTCCTTTTGTTCTTTCATCCTCTTTCTTTTATCATCTATTATCTATCTATCTATTTATCTATCTAATCTATCATCTTTATGTTTATGTAAAAAGATCTAAAAAAGTCTGCCTCCTGGAAATGGGTTTGGGGAGTGAGAAGGATTTTTACTTTTACTTTGTAAAGCGGGGTGGTTTTTTGTTTTTGGGGTTTTTTTTTTGCTTTGTTTTGTTTCTGTTTTATAAGAAGCATGTATTACTTTGATAATTTAAAATGTCATTATCACACCTAAACCCAGGCAAACTTGATTTTTACAAGAATAACACAAGGGGCAGAGAGCATGTAAGATTGGACTTGAGTATGCAAAGCACATACCATTAATAATGATCAGGAAAAACCTAAAAATCAGCCCTGCATATTCATTTTATCAAACCCTTTGAGGCTTACTAACCTGGAAATATCCTTACTCTTGTGAGCACCTTAAGTTATGGGAAACACAGTACACTGGGAACATAGAATTTATAGTTTGGAGAAGAGCTGACTTGTCTTAGGCAAAAAGTTCATGGAAATAAGCTTTGGGACAACTGAAATGTTCTCATTATTTCTTTCTGCAGATTAATTCCAATGCTCTGTCCAAAACCAAGTATATTTGGTTTACTAATATTATTTACCACCTTTTTCTCACTATGTTTTTCTCAATGATTTTATTGTAACTTCCAGTCATTTCCGAATTTAGCATTCTTTGGGTGGCCAACAACATAAACCAATTTTGGCAACCTTAAGCCAAAGACAAAAGAGAAGAGAGGGAATTTATTATAAAATGGTGCTGGAGCATCTCACACACTTAGGGGAAGAGTTGACACCCAAGCTTTAGAAAGGTCTGCTGCCAGGGGCCAGCTGAGTGGCTCAGTTGGTTAAGGGTTAGCTTAAGAGCGTGAGCTCTGAGCAACAGGGCCGCCAGTTCGATTCCTACATGGGCCAGTGATGCTGCACCTGAACTGAGCTGCCACTGAGCTGCCAAGAGGTGGCAGGATGGCTCAGCTGGTGAGAGCACATGCTCCTAACAACAAGACTGCTTGTTTGATGGTGGACTATGCCCGCCCACAACTAAGACTGAACTCGGCACCTTGAGCTGAGCTGCCACCCAGATGGCTCAGTAGATAGAGCATGCACTCTTAACAACAAGGCTGCTGGTTCCACTCCTGCATGGGATGCTGGCTACGCCTACCCGCAGCTAAGATTGTAACACAGCACTTTAAGTTTAGAGGCCACGAGCTGCCGATGGGCAGCCAGATGGCGACTGGCGCCCTCCACAACTAAGATTGTAAAACAACAACTTGGCTGGTCCCCCCAATTCCCCAACACTGTTCCCCTTCCCCAATTCCCCAATTAAAAAAGAAAAAAAAAAAAAAAGAAAGTCCGGAGCCACAACAGCTGTGGGAATCAAGCAAGAAGAATGCATTCTTTGCCCCAGGCTGTGGCTGTCTGAGACTCAGTAGCAGTGATTCTAGTGCCCAGCTCTCTACGTCAGCTTCTGGACCTATCTGCTATGGAAGAGACATCGGGCCACATAGCACAGATTTGGCAGGAGTGGGTCCCAAGAAAGGGAAACTACTGCAAGTCGGCAATAACTTCAAAAAATATCAACTATATTTCCTGCCTGTGTGAACTTTTCTACTTTTCTAAAATTAGTAGTGCCTAGAAAACAGCCCAAAATCTGGGAAGTCCTAATTATCTCTCCAGCTTCAGTTTCCATGTGACCCAAAGTGGAAGTATTATCTACATTTGGGGCAATACAGTCTGCTATTATTATCTCCAGTTTGCAGATGAGGAAACTGTTCAGGACAGAAAACTTGAGTGACTGGCCCAGGGACCTGGGCAGGACTTCCATTTCTAAGTCTGATCCTCTTTCTTCTGAACAGCACTATCTCTTATCCACGCGGACTTTTGCCTCATTTTTAAAGCTATTAAATTAGTAAATGATTTCAAAACTTCAGACATTATAAATAACTGGAATAAAATAATTGGTTTTCCTTTTAGGTACAGATGAGAGACATAGCTGAAGAGTTCTTACTACAGAAGCATGAAAAGAAAATTGGGGTCTGGAAGGCAAGTAATATTTGATATATTCTTCCTCCTGTAAGTTCTACTCTGTCAAAGTATTATTTTTCTTCCTCTTAAAAAAAAAAACTTTATAAGAGTTTATTGGAGCCAAACTGAACATATGCCAAGGAGCAAGATCTCAAATGCTCCCTACCCCTCATTGTAGACACTGCTCCGTAAGCCACTGATACTATTCTTAATTGGCTTGTGGACTCTAGCAGAAAATGTGGTGCTACCAGAGCTGCCTTCCTAAAGAGTTCCTTGACTTGCTCAACCCTAGAAACGTCCGATTGGACTTTAAATATGTACGTTTATTTATTTTGCTTGTGATAGATTTATTGAGACAAACGGTTCCAGCATATGGTAGTTTATTTATTACTGAGAGTGGATTACACAAAAAGAATGAGATCTGTGCAGCAGAATTAGCAGGTTAAATTATTTTACATTATCTCTCTCTATTTAGAATTACATTTTAGCTTTAGATTAAAAAACAAAAGAAAAGAATTAAGATAACTATTATTTTGGTGATTATTTAAGCCACTATACTATGAAACCTTACTATTGATAGATATTGTCCATTATGTTTCTTAACAAGCATGATAAACATGGTCTTCTTTTTAAGCCGACAAATTTATGTGTATTCATTTCTCTACAGGTCTTGATAGAATATCAAACTAGACCCAGGTGACCCACTGCAAACTAACAAAATTTTTATTTGACTGTTAGAGGAGTGTATATATATGCTAGGATCTTCTTTTTCTGTATTTTGCTCTTGAAAGGAAATAAACTGTTCTTATGTTTGTCTTTTCTTATATTTTTATTGAAACACCAAGTAGAATGGGCTTTTATTTCATATTATTGTGCATTATATATTATGTTATTTTCTGTTTAGTTAAATTATAGGTTTTAGTTAAATTACTAAGTTTTAGTATCTTAAGAAGCAGGTCTTAAAACATTATTTGCTGAGTGGGTTTTAAATAAACATCCCAGTCTAATACACAGTTGTTCCAATTTATAGGGCTATAATTTTAATATGGACCATATGGTGAGGGTCTTAACTTTTTGTCCAGAGAATACGATGTGTGCCTCACTGAAATAGTGATAGACGTCTACTCACTTTGTCTGGGTTAAAGGCAGTACCATTCATCTAGACTGCCTGGAGTTGCCTTCAATTTTCAGTTTCCAACTCAGACGCATCCTCAAGGCCCTTCTCTGTAAAGCTTTTACTTACTCCTTAAGGCAGAATTAGTTACTCCTTCATGTTCCCATAGCACTTTCTACATAAGTCTCTTAAACACTCATATTGATGGTCACATATAATTTGTTTCAAGAAACTTATTTTATGCATTATCAGTAATGGATATTTACAATGTGTTTTGATTGATTGTTATTATAATTTCTAAGTTCATCTAAAACAATGCTTTTGCAATGATGCATGATTGTAGGCTAAAATCAGATTTGGGGAACTTCAATAAAATTTCTCTAGTAGGAAAATCTAGTCAGTAAATTCAATAAAGTTTATTTCTTATGTTTTTTTTTTTAATCTGAGAAGCTAAAGGGGAATGAATATATGATCTAAAATGGTCAAAGTGAAAAAGGCAGGAGAATTATATATTAATGCATAACATATACAACATATGTAATAACAAAAAAATAATAGTATAACAGTGCATATTATAACATTATTATTTTGTTTTGTTTAAGCACAGAACTCATACTATACACTAAAATGTAATTTTTCACCATAGTTTCAAACTGTAATGATTGTTAACATTCTTAAATAATGTAATCATATGTTCTAAGTCATCCAATCATTTCTTTTTCTCTCTACCTCTTAAAAAAATGATGCTATAAAAAATAGACAAAGGGGAGAAGAACAGAGTGGGGAAAGTTGCCAAATTCTATTTATCTATGCCAAAAACTTCAACAGTGAAAAGTAAAGGAGATAAAAGTGGGTGATTTTTAGCCTAGGAAATGACTTTATTTGCTTTTTAGAACACAACTAATTTTCTGTACTCTCTGGACAGCCTGTGGAGAGTAAGTGGATATCTTCATCTTCTGAAATCATTGCTTTCCGTAAAGCATTATTGAATCCAGTTACTGCAAGACAATTTCAACGGTTTGTGGCTTTAAAAGGAGATTTATTGGAAAATGGGGTGCTCTTTTGGCAAGAAGTACAAAAATATAAGGTATTGTATTGGGAGCCAGAGAAAACCACCTTTTTTTGAGGAGGAAATGCGTTAACATATCATTATTAACTGTAATTTTATGGACAAAATTTGTATAAGATATCCCAATTTTGCCATCTTCATGCTAATATGTAAATATAAAGGTGTTTCTTTTTCTGTGTTAGATATATTATTATTATACAACAAAGAATAAGAGTGAGCCCTGAAATGATAGTATACATTTTCAAGGTAGTCCCATATATTATGATCTAATGAGTACCTTGTTTATAAATGTTTATACACATTTTTCCCTGAAGATATCTATATTTAGTACTTTCACCAAGACCTCTTTACAAGAATTCACAACTATTTTTACAGCGAGAGTAATCAAAGATAATGGATTATAGATAAATAAATAAACCAACAGAGATGAGAGTGGCTTTTCTATTAGAAAGAATGGCCAAATTCTTAACAAATAAATAAGTTAAAGAAAAAGTAACTAGGTTCAAAATCAGTTTATTTTCTGGCTTGTGTTTAATGGAATCATATAGAATCTTTGCATTGAAGAAGAGGAAAGGACTTTTTAGTTATACAATTTAGACTTGAATACAGGAATGTTGTCTAGAAATACCTAAGAGTAGACATCCAGCCTCTGGTTAAACACTTCCAGGGGTAGCAGGCTAATTTCCTTTCAAGAAGCCTATTTTATCCCATTATAAATGTAGGACATAAAAATAAAACTGGAATTTAAGAGGATAATGCTTTCAATTCGCCTATAATCTAAGTATATATTATGCAATACTAATACTCTGCAACATGTATATTCATATAGTTTGTAGTTGATCAATAAAATCTAGTTCCAAATTTTATCCAACATATCATGAAACTGTTCTCTACCCTTTTCTGTTATCAACAACTTTTGTACTATCCTCAACTTAGAAGTTTTCTCAGAGAAAAAAAGCAACAAAGGAACAAGACAAACAAAGAAACAAAAAATCATAGACACACAATGGTTTAGTGGTTACCAGAAGGTAAGGGGAGGGTGGATGGTACAGGGTAAAGGGGGTCAAATATATGATGATGGAAGGAGAACTGACTCTGGGTGGTAAGCATACAATGTGATATATAGATGATGTATGATAGAATTGTACACTTGTAACCTATATATTATATATACTATATATAATATATATAGTATATATATACTAACCATTGTAACCCCAATAAATTTAATTAAAATTTAATTTTAATTAATTAATTTTTTAATTATAAATTTTAAAAATATTTTGAGATAGGTTTTTCAAAATATGTCACAAGGTAAGTAATATTAAAATATTTTTTTGAGAATTAGAAAAGAGGTGGAGTCTGTTTACCAGAATAGGAAATTATTATGAGTGGTTAGAAGTATCTTTATGCTGCTATGAATATGCATAAGCACAGCTCTGGTAAGACAAGACATAATGAGATAAGCCTTGCAAAGTAAGTATTTAAAAACCGTAGACTCATACACAGTCATTCCTTAGTTTTGTGACTTCCTTCTACAAGTCTGCGCTTGGTCTTTGTTTAAATATCTTTTCTGTGTCATAGGATGGAGGACATGTAATACTAGGTATTAAAATTCATGCTGTAGGAATGAATTTGTTCATTCAATGAGCATTTATTAAGTGTCTCATGTGCCAGCCACTATGCTAAATTGTAGGAATAAAAAGGTGAATACAACACATTGCCCTCCCTCAGGCAGGGAGACATCCATGCAGATAAATAGTATTGATTATGATCCGTGTTCTAACTAGGTATTCCCACAGAGGAGGGAATGATGCAGGGAGGGTTGTAGGTCAGGGAAGTGTCCACAGAAGGGATGATACTTAATTGGGTCTTGAGGGAGTTTACCAGGTGGAACGCATTCTACTAAGAGAGATCTTACTGAGCTCTCTTTTAAATGGCTTACTCTCATTTAATGTTTACTATCTGCTAAATATTGTCTTAATGCTTTTTATGTGTTAAGTAACTTTTTCTTCTTAAGAATCCTATGAGGCCAAAGCTATTCTCACTGTTTTATAGATGAAAAAGCTAAGGCACAGAAAAGTTCAAAACTTCTGATATTCAGATAATTTAGTGGTAGAGCTGGGATCTGAACCAAGGCATTCTGTTGCTAAAGCTCATTCCCGTAACCACTAAGTTGTGCTCTCTCCCAGTAATGATTGTGGTGATATGCGAAGGGATGACTACAGTGATCTTAATCAAACATAGTTCTCAATCAATTGTGAAAAATTGGAAAGAACCCAGATGTTCAACATCTGGTTACTTAATTATGACACATCTCTACAATAAAATACTCTGCAGCCATTAAAAATTATACTGTGGGAGAATAATCGATGATGAAAAAGATATTCATCTTCCTGATTTTTTTAAACCTAGCTACTAAAAAACAATATGATTTAATCTAAAGTGTGTGTGTGTGTGTGTGTGTGTGTGTGTGTGTGTGTCCATAGAGAAAAGAATGAAAGGATATATTCATCTAACAAATACTTACTGAGCACCTATGAAGAGCGAAGCTAAATCCTGACGATACAGCTGTGATCAAAAGTCTTCCCTGTTAGAGCTTATAGTTTCATGGGAGGGACAGACAATTGTAGACAAGGCAATTGTAACAGTGTGATTAGTGCAATGATGGAAGAAGCACAGGATGCAATGGACATCTCTCCTGGACTGAGGAAGTCACAGAAAGCTTACGAGAGAAAAATGTGCTTAAATTGAGACTTTAATGACAGGTAAAAGTTAACTAGGCTAATGGTATAGTCAGGTAGAGCATTAGAAAAAAAAGTCAATTCTGATTCTGTCTAAATTCAATTCCTTCACTCTCAAAATGAAAACTTCATGAATTTTTATTTCACGAGCCTTACTTACATTCCATAGTAATAAACCAGGCTCACCAAATAATTATATATGATAACCTTACTAGTAATGGCAAAAACAAAAAACAAAACACACAAAAAAAGCATTTTTGGTAACATAGCAAACATGTGGTATAAAATAGACATTTTTTGAGGGGATGCTAAATTGAGTAAAAAAAAAATGCTAACTGTTGTCTCATTGTAACATAGCAAGCTTTTTTCACATATAACTTTTGCCAAACTGTATGTGAAGTTTTATATGGCAAGCACTAGAATTTTCCTTTCTTTAATAGTGTCCATAAGATATAAGTTATTACAATGCCCATCATATAGTAAGTACTTAATAAATTTTGACTCATTTCTGCCTTAGAATTATAAGTTTCCAAATTTGTGTGCTTTCTAGTGATTTAGAGAACAGTATCTTTGACAAAGAAATGCTATAATTCAAGCTAAGCTACCTCTTTATTTTAAAAAATGATAGCCCACATCTGTGACATAAAACTGGATCTTTTAATGTATGATCATTATTTTTAAATTCTTTAGCAATAAAGAGGATATTGTAATAGGTTAATTGAAAAAATATAGATACTAAAAAGAACAACAAAATAAACCCAAAGGGAGCACAAGGAAGGAGGTAATAAAGACCAGAGCGGAAATAAACAAAATAGAGACCAGGAAAACAATACAAATGATCAACGAAACCAAGAGCTGGTTTTTTGAGAAGATAAACAAAATTGACAAGCCCCTAGCTAGACTCATCAAAAGAAAAAGAGAGAGGGTTCAAATTAATAAAATCAGAAATGAAAGAGGCGAAGTAACAACAGACTCCACAGAAATACAAAAAATGTTAAGGAATTGCTATGAGCAATTATATGTCAACAAATTTGACAATCTGGAAGAAATGGATAATTTCCTAGATGCATACAACCTTCCAAAGCTATCTCAAGAAGAAACAGAAAATCTGAATAAACTGATTACCACCAAGGAAATTGAATCAGTAATCAACAAGCTCCCAAAAAATAAAACCCCGGGGCCAGATGGTTTCACAAGTGAATCTTACCAAACATTTAAAAAAGAATTATTACCTATTCTTCTCAAACTATTCCAAAAAATCCAGAAGGAGGGTAGGCTCCCAAACTCTTTCTATGAAGCCACGATCACCCTGATTCCAAAAACAGACAAAGACAGTACAAAAAAGGAAATCTACAGGCCGATATCTCTGATGAACATAGATGCAAAAATCCTCAACAAAATCTTAGCAAACAGAATTCAGCAATATATTAAGAAGATCATA